TGTGACTAACCATTAAGAAAATTTTAACCACCACAGTGTATCTGTTTGTCCTGTTAGTGCTACAGTTTAACAGTTTTTGTTACATATGACAAGAGTTTAACTGTCCCCATAATCCCCTCCAAAATAAAACCTGTACTGTACTGTACTGTACTAATCCAGGAAGCTTGGGACCAGACCGGTTCCGGATTAGCGAAAATTCCGTACCATCGAAGCCAAGGTTAAACAAGGCAAAATAATGCATAAAGTATACCTCAGTAAAACCTCAATGATACGAGTAGATACGTTCCTTGGAGTCTGTTCGTATAGCGAAAGGAATACATGGGTTAAATAAGGATGCGTTACCGAGCACCGAGTATAGCAATTACAGTAAATAAATGTGATTCAGTACGAGCAGACAAACTGGGATAGCAGATTCAAACACTGGAGAAGGGAGAGGGTGGCTGGGAAGGATGGAAGGGAGGTATGGGAGATGTGAGCGGCCTGGCTGAGCGGCTAACAAATATGTCTCTGTGCAACTACGTCACGAGGCATCACAGACCACTTCACTGTTTGTTCCGCCTACTCGACTGGGTAAACGAGCAACACCGTAGCCAAGTTAGACTCGTCACAGCAACCACCAGGCAGGCTACTGGGACAAGCTGTGAGGTGTTATGGTTGTTTTTCAACTCGTATTTTTGGGTAGATATACATAACTTTCTTCATTAATATTCACTCATGAACACACACACACACCATCCTAAATACTGTACGTATTGTGAAAAAAGTAAAAGAAATAATTGTCCTAAGGGGCAAAGCTGTACTCAAATGTACTAAATTAATTACTAAAATTTTTATGTCTTGTGCAAACTATGTGATGTTTGAACTCAAATTAATCACTATCTTACAAAGGTTCCAACAATGTAAGTTATATTCTGCCAAGTCAATTCAGTGACATTTTATAAAAAACTTAAACTCCCTTTACATGACTAATAAATATGCATTAGGTGACTTTTGCCGCCCTGCTATCAACACCTCATCCTCCCAGCCAGGGTGAAGGTAGATTTAAGCTTAAAAATTTTTTTCTTATAAAATGTAGCTGACTAGACTTAGCAGAGTATAACTTGCATTGCTGGAATTCTTGCAAGATAGTGATTAATTTGAGTTCAAACATCACATAGTTTGCATAAGAGATATATATTTAAGTCCTTTAGTGTCATCTATTTGAGTACAAAGACTGTACAATAATATGTTGCTCTAAATTATGGCTTTTTCACAGGAAAGTCTGTAGTATAACTAACCCGTGGTCACTGTACTCGCTTCTCGTATCATCGAACAATATCGCTCATCTAGCCAATATAAGGTGAAAATTTCCGAACCTCGTATCATCAAATTCTCGTACTATACGGTAACGGGATCTCCCTGTATTACTGGTACCAATACAACTTACATCAGCATAAATCTAGCCCAGGCTTACTGAACCTTTTTGTGACAAAGTGTTATACTATGGCACAAGTTTACTATACACTAGACCCTTGCTTTATGCTCATTCACTACAGTATATGGGAATTCGCATATACAGTAAAACCTCGATAAATTGGACTTCAATACTGTATATCGGAATTCACTTTTTTTGGACTGGTCTCCAGAAATACTATTTAGAAAAAACAAAAAATTATGAAATGAACCACACTTACTGAAAACTGTACAATGGTCTAATGTGATTTGCTATAGGCCTAATGAGAACTAAGACACTTGAGTATGTAAGCAGGCTGAGGCTGATCAGGTGTTGCCACGTTTGTCAGGTAAATTTATTTATTGATTCAGTATTATATTCTCATGTGATTGGCCTCTTATGGTTTGTGGTTCATCATGATTAATATAACATCTTCAGTAATAAGAGAAAAATACAATAATGTACTTTTTTTATGGGGATTAGCCCACCCAGGCACAGGCCACTGACCCACATCAGGGCCTAGGGGGCGAAAATGTAATAATAATAATAATAATAATAATAATAATAATAATAATAATAATAATAATAATAATAATAATACTAAATACTAAATACTAAATAATAAATAATAATAAATAATAATAATAATAATAATAATAATAATAATAATAATAATAATAAATAACCATATAAAATACAGTGACCCCTCGGTTAACGAACTCAATCCGTTCCAGAAGGTCGTTCGTTAACTGAAAAGTTCGTTAACTGAAACCATTGTTTCAATGGGTTTTTGGGTAATTGGTTCCAGCTCACCGAAAATTTTCTAAATTCAACAAAAATGGTAGAAAAGTTCACTTACTTTGAGGTGTGTATGTAGAAGGCTCCTGGATGATGATGATGATGGGAATTAGAATGGGGGTGGAAGAGAAGTCATCCCATGGCACCATTTCACCCATATTTTCTTTAAATCAACACTGCACTGCATTATATATTGTCAATATGTAAAATATATTTCAAAATGACAAATAATTTGCTTGGAAACACAGAAAAAAAGTGTTTAGTTGAAGAGAGTCTCAAGCAAGATGTTACCTCCAGTGAAAACAGAGACTAACGCCTGTTTGCTGTGTTAAGAGGCTGGATGCCGCGCATTAAACTAGTCACTTTACCTTCAATTATGTTCAATAATTGTTAAAATGACTAAAAAATTGAATATTAAACTTTTAAATTTATTGAATAGTATAAACTTCTTGATATTTACTAAAATAGTAAGGAATTTAAGCCCTAGAACCGATTAATGTATTGGCGGACTGATACTAAAGCTGGTTGCCCGGTCAGTGCAAGCGAAAACATGTTGAGGTCGGTTCGTAAGAAATTCGTTAACTGAATTTTTGTTCGTTAACCGAATTGAAGATCCTTATGGAAGGCAGTTCGTTAACCGAGGCGTTCGTTAAACGAGGGGTCACTGTATACAAAATGAAAAAAGATCAAAAGTGAGGAACAATATATGTATGTTGTGTTGTCAATAGTAAGTGAAACAATTGAGACCCTGCAATTGTGTGTAAATGAGGCAGAAAGTCAGATGAGCAACCTGGGACTTAGTCACAATTTTTGTGATGCCATGTGGCAGCAGGGTCTATCATTGGACAATTCATTATGCTTCCAATATCTTCCCAGGGGCTAGTACCTCCCTGCTTGGTAACTGCCCAATACCTACTACAGGTTGTACCTCTCTAGTCCGGCATTCTGTGGTCCGGAAACTCCAGTGGTCCGGAAACTCCAGTGGTCCGGAACGATTTTAGTTTGTCCAATGGGTAGACTGGCAGCTTTTTTCTTTTTTTTTTTATCTGAATTATTATTACAGGAGTATTAAATTTTTGCCCCTCAGGCCCCAATGTGGGTCAGTGACCTATGCCCGGGTGGGCTAATCCCCTTAAAAAAAAAAAGCCGCGGGAAATTAAGGTTTGTTTACATCCGGCAGTTCGGCTGCTCTCTCTCTCTCTCTCTCTCTCTCTCTCCTATACAGAGTACAACATTTAACCCTTCAATATATATGAGCAGTAAATAAGTGGCTTTCATATTCTTATGTAGAGTAATGACGATATGTTTTCACATGTGCGCACTTACATACGCGCAGTCTCACTTTTTTTTTTTACCATTAATGGTTAGCTACTTATATTGTTCCATTTATTAACATTAAATAACATTACAGGTACTTCAAACAACCATATTAATTTGTTTACATTAATTTTACTACAGCTACAATCAGGGTCTTATTTTCTTCAGTTTTATATGTAGAACCAATCAGTCACTGGTTTTGTAAGCTTTAACAAAAAGAATGCCGGCACCCGTCTCGTCTCATCGTGTGTTTTAATATTCCACGTATTATTAATAAATTGTATTGTTAATTTTGCACACACAAACATTAATTCAATAAAAACAAATTCAGAAACATTAATTAAAATATATATGAACAGTAAATAAGTGTTGTTTTGATATTCTTATGTAAAGTAATGACGATATGTTTTCACGTGTGCGCACTTACATACGCGATCTCTCTTTTTTCTTTACCATTATCGTTAGTGTATAATATGGACACGAAGTAGTACCTTAAGCTGTGTATTATTATATTACTCTTATATTACCCCATTAATTATGTATAGTAAGTATTACAGAACATGTATTAATTCTATGTAATATTCCCATTTATTATGCACCAATGCACCATGTTATGTATATAAATGATCATATTTACATTGTATGTATTCAGCTTGTGAATGCTGGCATCTGTACATGCAAGCGCGCAGTAATACATAGAGCGAGTGAAGACAGCCAGTCCTTGTGGTGCGGAACTGAGCTTCTTGGTCCCCTTGTATATATATCTCCCGTACGAGAATAGAACCTACTTTTAAGATAACAAGTGTTTGTGTATACCTTCAGTAGTATAGAACATTTTGGAGGTATCAAGACGAACACAGAGTTAGCTACTTTTATTGTTCCATTTATTAACATTAAATAATATTATTTAAAACAACCATTTTAATTTTACTACAGCTACAACCAAGGTCTTATTTTCTTCAGTTTTATATGTAGAACCAATCAGTCACTGGTTTTGTAATCAACGAAAACAATGCTGTCTCATTTCCTCGTGTATTAATATTCTACGTATTATTAATGAATTGTATTGCTCATTTTGCACATACAAACATAAATTCAATCAAAAAGACTTTCAGTGATAAACAATAATGAATCTTTTGTACATAAAAGAAATGACGCTGTTTACAAATTGTGCAAGTCGTCTGAACGTTGGTGGGCCGTTCAAACCCGTCAAAATTCGAGTTTCTGCCGTCAAAATTTTTAAATGTGTTTTTTTTTTTGCTTGTTCAAATAGAAAACGTTGAATTAAAAACTCGTGAAATTTGAGAAGCTACTGTACGACATTTAACACTTCAATATGTCTTCAAAGAGACCATGAAGCAGAGAAAGTAGTGCAAGTGCTTCCAAGCCAAGTCACTATCTATCCAGGAAAAGGGTGAATTTCCATGGTCCGGAAATTTCCATGGTCCGGCACCGGTCAGGTCCCGAGGTTGCCAGACTAGAGAGGTACAACCTGTACCTGTAAATTTGTAATATGACTTGAAAATAAAAGAATAAGCTGTATCAGAAGGCTATTTACTCAAGATGCTTTCGTGTGAGAGCTTTCAGCAGACCATCTTACAACATGGGTCACTGTAACCTGTGGTGTAGTGCTAAAAAAAAGAAGTGAGAGAACGCATTTTGAAAGTGTTATTCAGATGGTGGGGGCACTGGCTGGAGCAGTGAGCCCATACAACTGGGGGTCCTGACTGATTTTGGGGGATCAAAAGAGTGGTTGGTGGGGGCATTAACATTGGAGACAATATCATTTATATCAATGCTTAACTGACCCTCGCATAGGTCTAATCAATCTATGTGCCAATTTTAGTAACAAGTGGTCCCATTGTGTCGGAGGAGTTTCGTGACAGACAGACGATCACAGACAGATAAGCTGAACTTCCCAGATCCCTACATCCTACTGTAGTATACACGCGGGCGACATTTTTACCCCCAGTTTCGATACCAAACCGATAAGGGTGATGTGTAGCTTATCATGATTTCACAGTCTCAAAGCAATACTATTTATTAAATACAATTTAAAAAATAATCTATTTAGGCTCACCTTAACTTTTGCAGTCTTTGAGAAATTTTTAACAGAATTTCCAAACTGGGTCCACAGTGAGATCCTTGGACTTGGCTATTCTTGTTTGTGTATCAATTGCTGAACGATGACGCCTAAGCCATTTGTGTACGTAGTCGTCTGGTTTCCAGGTTGGGAGCGGAGGACCGTGAAGTTTAATAAACACGAGATTGCTCACACGGTTGATTAACAGTCTACACCTCGTTTCCGTTACGACAAGGTTCATGCTGCTAAAGCCCCGTTCTCATTCAGAAAAGCTGCATGGGATTACTTTTGAACATCCGATTAAAGGCTTCAGGTCTGGGGGAATATGTCGCCCACCGTTGTCTAGATACTCCCTGTCTACTGTGATTGTTTTTGAAAATGGCAATCTAAAACGTTTACAAAGGGACTATTTCATTTTCTCCAAATCCTGGATTTATCTCAGCTGGCCAATTATCGACTTCTATGATACCCAGCTCAGAAATTATGTTTGGAAAGGAGTCAGAAGTTGCTAGGATGGGGGGGGAGGGAGGGAGGGGTGACAGTGACATGTTTGACAGTTAGCACCAAAGGTCTAGTGAAGTATTTATTTATTTATTTATGTCCTTTAGATTGAGTTTTTGTTTTTTGCTTATAAAATTTCATAAAAGTGACTGGGGAGAATATAATTTAAATTGCTGGAATTCTTATAAGATAGTAATTAATTTGAATGTAAACATGCGATAGTTTGCACTAGACAAAAATTTTAGTAATCATTTTGTACATTATTTTGATTACATGTACAGTACAGCTTTGCCCTTAGGACAGTGTGTGCATGTAAATGAGTTTCAATAAATGAATAAAGTTACATATATGAGCCAAAAATAATAGTGGAAAAACTTTATGTAGACAGAGCTTGGATGGCTAAATTTTAGAATGACCAATAATTAATATAAAAAATGCACGAATATTAAAGAGCAAAATTTTCTTGATATTTACTCCACTGGAAACAAATGTAAATATAGAACAGATTACTGAATTGGCAGGCTAGCCCATCAGCTGATGCTCACAACAAAACGTGTTTGTCGTAAAGATTTCGTTAATCGAAGTTTTGTTCGTTAACCGAATTGAAGATCCTTATGGGAGCTAATTCATTAACCGAAATTACGTTAATCGAACCGTACGTTAACTGAGGGACCACTGTACTGTACAGTATACAGTTTTCTCTTTATTCATATGATAACTTCTGTATTTACTTACATATAACACTTTGCAGTAAATAACAATCATCTTGGTGACGACCAGACTTTCATGTCTGATTTTCAACCCAGAATTGTTTCATATTTTTTTTTTTATTATTGTTGATTTAATATTCTTTTAATAATCTTGTTATACACTTAAAGACCTTAGATGTTGAAGTGCAGTAATAAAATAACAACTGATTTTCTTTAGACAGTTCAGAGAAGCAGAGTTTTCTCCAACTCTTCCGTCACATACTGTATACAGTACAGTACTCCCTCTTTATCGACGGGGGTTACGTTCTGTAGACGGCCGTCGATAAAGAAACCGTCGATACCGTGATGGTTACGTAATTTTTCTAACTATTATTAGCATATGTTGAATAAATGTACCTTTAAGCATTAATGCATTTCCTTTACACATAACCTTAAATAATAGTGTATAAATAATAATATAATAAGTGGACAAAAATACTAGCAAACTTACGATTTCATTTATTGAAGTGAACATCGGTCCTTACAGTAAACAATACAGTGTACAGTATATACAAGTGTGATGATTGAGGCTTATTAAAAGCCTGACCAGTCAGATGAGTATGATGAGTCAAGGTCTGCATCTTCTTGAGGGGTGTGGGCAGGTACTGCGTCTTGTTGTTGTGAGGTGCCGGCAGCTTCTACGTCTTGTTGTTGTGAGGTGTCGGCAGCTTCTGCCTCCTGTTGCAGGATGCCGGCAGGTTCGGCGATGGCAGGCACTCGGCGACTGAAGAAGTTGGTGATGGTGGTCTGTGCTTTCTTGCTTCTCATTTCCCTCTGCAGTTCTATATATGGCAACATAACATTTTCAATAGCTCTCTTTGCTTTAAGGGACCTATCAAGGGAGGGATCAATGTCATAGAGACGAGCAGAGAGGGCCTTACTCATTCTTATTACTTCACCAAGATTATCTAAAGTTAAGTTCTTATTTTCATCATCACTCACTTCATCTTCTGTTTCATCCTGCAGCTCCACTAATTGTTCTAGTTCATCACTTGTAAATGGATCCCCAACATTTCCCAATAACTCTTCTTGCACCTCTGCCGCTGTTAAGTCAGAGAACCCTTCACCTCCAACTTCATTTGCCATAGTTATTATGTTGCGTAACTGAGGCTCGGCTGTTGGGAACCCTGTGAATGTTGGGACAATTTCAGGCCACAATTTTTTCCAACATGATCGGACACAGTTCTGCGACAGTTCATTGTGGCTTTCAGCGATGAAGTTTATGCACTGTGCAATATCAAATTTCTTCCACATTTCTCTGGGTGTCACATCAGCATCCTTATCAAGGCACTCACGAATCATGCTGAAAGTCTTCTCTGCATATTTAGCCTTAAACACGACAATGACTCCCTGGTCCATTGGCTGGATGATGGAGGTGGTGTTTTTTGGCAGGAAAACCACCTCAATGTTGGGGTGGGCAGTCTTGAGTTCTTCAGAGTGGCCAGGGCAATTATCTAGATATAATACCACTTTGAACTCCATGCCAAGTTCATCCAGATAATCTTTCACCTCTCTAGCAAAGCAGTTTTTCAGCCAATCCACGCACAAATCAGATGTCATCCACGCTTTCTTGTTGTTCCTGTAGAAAACTGGTAGCAAGTTCATGTTTTTATTTTTGAGAGCCCGAGGTCGTGCGGCAGTGTATAACAACATGGGCTTAATCATATGCCCTGCCGCATTCCCACATAGCATCACTGTCACTCGGTCCTTCGCAACTTTAAATCCAGGGGCACTTTTTTCCTCTTTAGAGATGTAGGTTCGGCATGGCATCTTCTTCCACCATAGGCCTGACTCATCAGCATTAAAAACTTGTTCCGGCCTATAACCCTTTTGTTCTATGTGGTTAGCAAACTCTGCAGGGTATGCTTCCCCTGCCACAGTGTCTGCTGATGCTGCTTCGCCAGTCACTTTTATATTATGCAGCCCATAACGATGTCTGAATTTCTCGAACCATCCTTTGCTAGCTGCAAATTTTTTCAAATTGTCACCATCACCCTGATTATCACCATCACCCTGATCATCACCATCACCATCACCAACACCATGATCATCACCTTTAGAAAACTTATCATAAAGTTCCTTAGCTTTCTGCCTAATAAATTTCGAGTCAAGTGGTATGCGGCGGCGGTTTAGGTCCTCTATCCAAATGTTCAGTGCTTTTTCCATTTTAATGAGGGCATCATCACGCACATGGCTTGTCACTTTTGATGTCACTGGTGCACTTGAAGCTAAAGCGTGCTTCAGATCCTTTGCACGTCGTTTAATTCCACGCACACTGGATTCGTTGAGCCCAAAGTGGCGGCCAACAGCTGCGTAGCTCATACCGCTGTCGAGTTGTTTCAGCACTTCATTCTTCTCATTCAGCGTCAGCACTCGTCTTGCCCTCTTAGGTGTAGATCCAGAGGGAGCAGCAGGTCGTTTGGGAGGCATGGTGATATAAGTTGATGTGATGAACCACCAGCAAAAGTTGAAAATCAAAGACTGTTGCCCACGTGGCTTGGCTGATGTCTGTGTTCAGGGAAGGCTGGCCGCGGGTAGACGCTAGTCACGCCACTAGTGCCGCCTAGCGGCGAAAGTACAAACAAGGCCCGCAGAGTTCAAATAAAGCCAAAATAAAAATCCGTCTAAATAATCCGTCGATAATCGAAACGGTCGATAAAAAATCCGTCGATAAAGAGGGAGTACTGTATTTGCTTTTCTCGGACTTTCACATTTTTTGGACTGGGTCTGCTCCAATAAGTCCGATTTATCAAGGTTCTACTGTATGTACATAACTAAACAAAGAATTCATCTGAAATACTTTAACATTCAATTTGTACTCAAATGACTAAGCTAAAGAACTAAAAAATTTATCTCTTGTGCTAACAATAAGATGTTTATACTCAATTAATTGATGACAACCCATCTCTGAAACCCTTTTCCTCTCAGTTCTTGGAAATTCTCGGTCTAAACAATTTTGTCAATTGTGCCGTGTCCAACACGTCTTTCTGGACACACTCTAGACCTAGTTTTGTCTCTAGCTGACTGTGATTTTGTATCGGATGTTGTAATTGAATTGATAGTTACAGTAAAACAATTACCTTCAGGCACTAAATATATTTTTACTTAAAAATAAAATGACAAGCTAAATCAGTGTTGGTGGTGTGTGGGTACCAGAGCACCCCA